TGTGTGTGTGTGTGTGTGTGTGTGTGTGTGTGTGTGTGTGTGTGTGTGTGTGTGTGTGTGTGTGTGTACCTGCATTCATGTCCTTATTTGTTTCTTACTTTCCACAAAATGTCCCTCACATTCACAAGCATTGACAACTGAATGGTTTGAAATCACAATCACATGTTAGTATCATGAAGATCAAAAGACCGCTCCCCAAAAGTGAAGCCAAGGCAGCTTGAACCGTCTCCTCCATGTTTGTGGATGGGAAATGGACCATACCAAAAAACATGGCCTTTTTATCAGCTTTAGCTAATGTGTGGACATGTATTCTTTTTACTTTGAGGTAGGCTAGCTATTTCCATCTGTTTCGAGTCTTTATGCTGAGCTAAGCTACTTGGCTGCTTTCAGTAGCTTTATATGAACTAAAGACATTCTAGTAGTATCAGTGTTCTCATCTCTGCAATGAAATGAATGAGCATCTTTTGCATTTCAGCCTGTTGACAGATTGGTTTTGGTTGTTATTATTAAAGTGGCATTAATTAAAATATTGCCTGTTTTTTGTTATACATGCAACATACATGATGTTGCTCTAAATCATGTTTTTCCACACATCACCAGGGTAAACACTGCCTGCTGGAGGCTGAGCTGAGCTGCGTCAAAGATCTGCTGCGGAGAGAAATCTACCCGATCATCCTCTACGTCAAGATCTGTGAAAAAAACATCAAGAAGTTACGGTACGCCGAACAAACTGTGACACGTTAACCCTCAGCTGCAAACCACACAACAAATGCACATCAACCCTTTAATCAGAATCAGAATCAGAAATACTTTATTTATCCCTGTAGGGAAATCAGATGTTCAATCCAAGGACGAGTCCGCTGTTTGATTCTCAAACTGTTTTAAAGAGTTTATATATGAGGTTTTACTACACAATGAAATCCGGCCGCCCCCAGATAATAGGTGTGAACTGAACATTAAGCTGTTTCCTGTTGAGAAAGGTGAGAGTTCTGCATCCGACTTAAAATACACGTCCGTGTTATCGTCTTTAGAAATTACAACGAAACACACAGAGTTTCTACAGTATCTCATCACAGTAACTGGGCCCCACACATTACCGCACTCACCACCACAGTGCTGCTTCCTTCCTGTTTCCTGTCCACGCAGGAAGCTGTCTCTGCGTGTCGAGTCGGAGGACGAGTTTGTCAGATTGTGTCGGGCGAAGGAGAAGGAGCTGGAGAGCATCCCCTGCCTCTACGCCAGCCTGGAGCCCGAGGCCTGGGCCGGACCGGACGACCTCATCAGGGTCATCAAAGACCGAATTCTGGACGAGCAGAAGAAAACGGTGTGGGTGGAGCAGGACCTGCTGTAGACAAACACACACACGAAATAAATCCACAAACAAACAAACCCTGTATATCATGCTTTAGTACTCAAAATAAAATGCATTATATTATTTGTAAATGTGTGTATTTCCTTTCAAGAAATAAACAGAGAAAAAAATTTAAAAAATGGTTAACCTCTCTTCTTTTACAGTTTCAAACTTAACGCAGACTACACTGACCTCTACTGGCCACTGTAAGGGTTACACACTGTAAAAACTCAAATCAAAACATATCATACTGGATATTATGTGTATGTATTATTTATTCATGCAGGTCAATTTTGCAACAGCAAACGCGAAATATCAAAATAATCATTATGATTTGATTTGAATAATGTACAATTTTATTGAATATTCAAAGTTTTTTTTCCACCATGG